CCCGTCACCCCCACTGTCACCTCCCACTCAGTCACGCCCCCCCAGCATCACTTCCCCCTATCAGCCCTCAGACACCCACACACAGAGTCACCCTGCAGTCACCCCCACACGCAGCATCACCTCCCCTGTGTCACCCCTCACACACTCACCCCCCATCACCTCCGTCCTCTGTCACCTCTCCCCCTGCATCACCCCCCCGCTGCCCCACCACCCGCTGCCATATCCCTGCCTGAGGCCACCCCCGCTGAGCCGGGACCCGGAGGGACAGCGGTGCTCAGCTTGGGGACACCCTGACCCCCACCTAGGGGTCCCACCCTGCGGGGATGGCCACCCTCCCGCCGCGCCCCCCCCCCCTTCACCCACCAGAGCCATCACCGTCGGGAATGGCCCAGGGTGACCCCAGCCCCCAAAGAAATTTTTCTAAGACACCTTTGGCCATTTTGGGCAGCGCCAGGCACCCGCTCACCTGTGTGCAGAGCGCCATGACGCTCCCGTGTTGCCCACTCGGAGAGAAAGCGGACGCCACCCGCGCCGGGAAGGACGGGCGGCAGCGGGTGGGTTTCGGTTTAATCAAAAAAAAAAAAAAAAAAAAAAAAAAAAAATGACGTGGGGGGAAAGGCAGCCGCCTGCCACGCGGCAGTGAGGTCAGCGTGAGGTGCTTTTTGCAGGGGAACTCGCTCAGTGAGAGGTCACGGCAGCAGGTTTTTTCGCCTGGGGTCCCCAGCCTGTGCGTCCCCCTGGCTCGGCTCACCCTCCGGGGGCTGCCAGCGCCCTTCCCGTGCTCGCGATGAGGTGGTGCGGGGGCTTTGGGGCTTTACAGCCTCCCATGCTGGCAGGGCAGGGATGGTCTCGTTCTCGTCAGGCAGGGAATTCACCTGGCACCGGGGAAATCCTCCCCAGTCAGAACCAGGCACGACCAGTCTGGTGTTACCCCCGATAGAGCATCAGTAACCCCTGCTGCGAGGACAGTGCAGGAGCAGAGCGGGTCAGAACAGGGAGGCAAGTCAGGGCTGCTGGCCATAGCCCGACACCGGGCTGAGCTGGCCCCAGGCAAGCTCAGGGAGGCACTGAGCCCTTCACATGGGGCCGCACGCTGCTCTGGCGCCTGTCGAGGCAAGATGATCCCTGCAGGGCCAGGGCGAGCGATTCTGGGGACTCCCGTGGGGACTTGGGGTGCATCCCCACACACGCGTCGGCACCAGCACGATGCAGCATCCCCGGGATGGGTGACACTCATGTCTGTGCTGGCACCGCTTCACTCACTCCGTTGCAACATCCCTTTTCCTGGTACAGCTGCACTCGTCTGGGAAAGCAAACACGAAACCCTCTACATTGCTAAAGTTCTTGGCCGGCTGATGTAATTCGGCAAGGAAAAATCCCTTCTCCATTTCCTGAACCCAGCATGACCCTAGCAGCAGTGCCAGGGCAGGACGTGCTGTTCCCAAAGAGGCAGGAGACCGTCAGCAAGGTCTCACCAGCTGCACCAGCTGTGGGACAGGCACCACTGGGGCTGCTCCGAATAAACCCGCAGTTGCAACACCCCAGCGGCCACAGCACAGCCAGAGGAGCAGGTCTTGCAACACCGAGTAACGCACCTCCTTAACGTTCCGCTGCCACTCAGTGTCCCGAAACGGCTCACTCCCAAGTCTCCTGGGCAGCTGGGGCCAAGCGTATCACAGTGACGGAGGCCGCGGGACGACTGTGCGGAGGGGTGACCCCCCAAGGGTGCCCGATGTCCAAGCGATGCCCAGATCACCCGCAACCTGGGAACCAGCCGCTCCTCCCGCATGCTGCTGCGAGGAGGACCCACAAAAACACCGACACCACCGAGGACCGTTAACTCCCGCGCCCCTGATTCCAGAAATGATGACAGCCAGCGGCTCGGGGTTTTCCCGCCTTTACTGTTGAACTTTCCGGGTGATTCAGACGCGGAGCTGAGGGATTTTATTCTCTCCCAGCTGAAGGAGCCGGGACGCTGCCACCGCCCCGAGGTGCAGCTCTCCCCTCACCCGCCGCCTTACGCGGGTTTCCCACGAAACGGACACAAACCGGGGAAATTTTTCCGCCAAGCGGTGACCGGCACCCGAGGGCCGGGGAGCGCGACTCCCGCCGCCCCCCGCCTTGCGAGAGGCCCGAGGGGAAGCCCCCCTCCCCGGGCACGCGGGGAGTGGGAATCCGCCCTGCGCTGAGGCACGGGGCAGGCCCCACGCCGCCCTCTCTCGCCCCGGGGGCGTCCGGGAACCGATGCGTGCGGCCAAGGCGGCGGGGAGCCTCTGAGGCAGGCACTGCAGCCCTCCGCGAACCACCGCCGCCGCCACGGAGCATGCCCAGCCGGGCGCGGCTATTGGTCAGCCATTCTGACAGCGCCGAGGACTAAGCCAGTCCCCTTCTGGGCACCGGGTTATTGGCAGTGACAGCAGCCTGTCAGAGTGCACAGACGCGTGCCAGCCCGCCTCCACCGTGGCGTGGACTAGCCATTCGGATAGCGAGGAGGCTGATTGCTAGGTTTCTGTGCCTATTGTGAGCAACTGCGTCACCCCTGGATCGCTATTATGCCGAAGTCCACTGAGGAGCCCGAGGCCCCGCCCGCTGCGATCGCGCCTCTCCCCGCTAATGAGAGGCCGCCTTTCCTGAAGGGCGTGCGCACCGCCCTATCGGCGGGCACCGCGGCCGGCCCCGCCTCTGGAGGGGCGGCCCTTGGGCTGTGCCCCCTGAGCGGCGGGCGCGGCCCCGGGCGGAGGCGCGCGGCGGCGGGCGGGGTCGGTGCCGTTGCCGGTGCCATGGCGGAGAGCGACTGGGACACGGTCACGGTGCTGCGGAAGAAGGGCCCTAGTGCGGCCCAGGCCAAGTCCAAGCAGGTCAGCGGGTGGCTCGTGACAGGGAGCAGGGGAGCGGCCTGGGCTTGGGTCTGGGCCTGGGCCTAGGCCGGGGCCTGGCGCGGCCGAGGCCTAGGCGAGCCTGCGGCAGGGCCCGGCTGATGGTGAGGGGGCGACTCCAGGTAGCGGAGCGCTCACCTCGTCACCTTTACTCTCCCCAGGCGATCCTGGCGGCACAGCGGCGCGGAGAGGACGTGGAGACCTCCAAGAAGTGTGGGTATCCCTCGGCTTGGCTCCTCAGACAGCCGGCGGGGGGGGGGAGGCCCGGGGAGCCGGTTCCCTGGCAGCGGTGCGGTGCGAGGCCCCCCCTCCCAGCCCACGCGAGGCCTGCCTGCCCCCCTGGCCCGCCCCACCGTGTCGCTCTTGAAGGCGGTTGCCTGGAAGGGCGGGGTGGTGGGGTGGGGTATGGGGTCAGAAGGCAGCACCCCCCAGCTGAGGCAAAGGTCGTCCTAACTGGGGCCGCATAGACTTGAGAACGGCCAGGCACCCGGCAGGGGGGAGGGGTGGACAGCACCCTGGGGAAGCGGGGAGTGCTCACCTGTAGCCGGCTCCGAGTTTCTGGTTGCCCAGAGGTGAGCTCTGGCTGGTGTCTGAAGAGCGCTCGGGAGAGCTTTCCTGATCACAAAACTTAATTTTGAAACTTATTTCTCTTGTTGACAACAAATGCGTAAGGATTTCAGTGACTGCTTATCTTCCTGGGGTGTTGCTCTTTACAAATTCCCTGTTTCCTGTCCAATGTAAATTCTCAGGTTCTCTCACCGTAGGGATAAGATTATGATGGTTGGAAATAAATAAATAACTGGTGCTTCGACGAGGTTTGGTCAGCTTTATCAAGAGACTGAGTGTCAGAGACTAATGTGAGAGAAAGAATTCAAACTATGACTTGAATACTCTAACTGAAATGAGACAAAATAAATAGCATGTTTTTGAACCTCAGGCTTTCAGCAAAGCTAAGTACAGTTAGAGTTTATTTGTAAAAGGCATCAGAGAATTGATTAAAAGCCACTTATTAATGCTGCCTCATACCTGAGCAAACATGGTTCAAGTTCAAATATGAACCCCTCCCACACTGTAGCAGAAACATGCATGTCTGGAGTGAAGTTTGAATGTTAAATCCCCAAGCAACAGCAAGATCTTGCCTATCTGGAGTGAAGTTCAGATGTGAAGTAGAGAAAGGGGAGGGCTCTGCATGGCTGTGTTTAGACATCAGCATTAACAGGATTAAGATAACATGGGCTCTGACGGGCAGGATCCGGTTGCGATCAGTTGCTGATGTCGGCATGTTGAAATCTTGAAAGCTCCCTGGGACCCTGGGCAGCTGAGTACTTAGAAAAAGCACTTTGATACTTTTTGGCACAGCTCTGAGCCTTGTTTTGTTGTTTGTCCTTGCTGGTTTTTTTTGGTTTTGTTTTTTTTGTTCTTGCTTTGAATCATAGGGGCAGCAGGCCAAAACAAACAACACTTTATTACAAAGAACACAGCCAAGCTCGACCGAGAAACAGAAGAGCTGCACCATGACAGAGTTCCCCTGGAGGTGGGCAAAGTGATCCAGCAGGGCCGACAGAGCAAGGGCATGACACAGAAGGACTTGGCCACAGTGAGTATGGCCAGGGCCCACTGGCCTCTGCTCCCGCTCTCCTGAGGCAGGTCTAGGCACCTTGAGGCGAAGGTGGACACTTTTCCTGTCCCCTCATGGGCAGCTGCAGCGGGATGGTATCATGAGCAGGAAGTTTGGTGAATGCAACGTCTCTGATGTCTGATCTCCAGGCAGCATTAGTTATCTAGGAAATGTTTTAAGGGTTTATCTGTGCAGCCCTTGAACACCTGCTTGGAGATAGAGCGTTGTTGCAGCTGATGAGCTGGTAGGCTTTTTTTTTCCTCTCTCCTCCCATCAACTCAGCACTGATGTGAGGTTTTTTGTACCATCTGGGCCTGACGCAGTGTTCAGAAGCTCACTGCTGTCTTAAGGAACAGCAATTCATAGTGTTACTGCTCCTCCTGGGAGGCTGAGGGAAGTAGAAGTCTGTCCAGGATGGGTGTCACCGTCATTGTGACACTCGAATAGTGAAGGGAGGATATAGTCATGGTGGAGTAAGCCTGGAAGTAGCACATTGTCTTCCAATCCTGGCATAATTAGAGGCTGTTATCTGTGTGAGTATGGGGCGGGTTGGTGCTGAGTGTTTGCTGTGTATGGAGCCAGTGTTTGAGACGCATCCTCTCTTTTTAGAAAATCAATGAAAAACCACAAGTTATTGCTGACTATGAATCAGGAAGAGCAATCCCCAATAACCAGGTTATGGGCAAGATCGAAAGAGCCATTGGTAAGTTAAGAAAGGAGGCTTCAAAAGTAATGACAATGTTTTCAGTGCCTAGGAGGGATGATTTGGTTTAAGACATTTACATTTTCCATGTCAGGAACAGTTGCTGGCAGTAGGTTATTGTGGGTGTGGTGTCATTAAGCTGTGTTCTGATAAAACTCGGATCTGCTGACTGAAACCAGAACTCAGAGGTCTTGTTCTCCTTTGTTCTTCATCTTCATGCATGGGACCATGCCCTGGGGACCACCCCTGTATGCTGTCCCTCTCAAAATCAGTGAGACCCATGAAGGCGTGATTATACTTGGTAAAGTTATCTTGCAGCCACTAGTGTTGATGTTACTCTCCTAGGCTGGTTCAGATACTGTTTTCTAGGAAGATAGTTGGATTGCAAGCAAGAATTGGAGCTTTGGCTGAAACTGGTCTGGTGCTCCTAGAAATTGAAGAAGGATTCTCCCTAACTCTGGTTCCCCTGCCCTCTTTTGGATGTTCTCTTCCTTGTAGCAAAAATTTGAGGAAATAGTTACCAGGTGAATGATCAAGTGTTGATGGCAGCTGATGGTGGTCGTCTCCATTGTCTTATTCCAGGCCTTAAACTGCGTGGGAAGGATATTGGAAAACCGCTGGAAACCGGCCCCAAAGGGAAATGACAACAAAGCCTCGAAATCAGTTTGTTCAGACTGATCTCGTCTGGCTGGTTCTCCTTAACCACCAGAGTCTTTGTATTGCCAAGCTGAACAAGAGGGTTTCAGACTTGCTTTGGGGGGGAAATCTGCTGAATCTGTACCTGCTGTAAAAAGGCAACCTTAAAGAAGCGATTTTCCTGATTTTGTTTTTCCTTCCTCCTTTCCAGAGATTGAGGAACTAAACCCAAAAAATACCGCGTTGATTTGCCAGAAAACATGTGCGTCTTGGTGTTTAGAAGCAGCTAATGTTAAGGCAGGGGTGGTCTGAAATGTCATCATTTAATTGGAACAATTTGGGGGATGGGTGGGTTATATATAAATAATTTGGGAGAGTTGGGGCTTGATCAGTGTCTGCATTTGAAATGATGACTCAGTCACTGCATCACAGTGACATTTTTGTTTGTTCCTTCCAGCCTGTTTTAAAGAGATCTATAATAAAGTTTGATACCCTTCAGTTGCACAGGGTAGTTGCTGTGTGTTTACCAGCCAGTAGTAAATGTTGTGGTTAGGTGTGACTGGAGCTGCAGCACCCTCTTCCTTCTGGAAGCATAATTAATGGGACTACCTGGAGTGTCAGGGGGTAATGGCCGGGGTTGTCACAGCCTTCCTGGCTGCTCTGCTCCCTTCCCTGTCAGTGAGGACTGCAGCTTTGGCTTGCAGCCCAGAGAGGAAATCAATGCTGTGGTTTTATCTTGTGCGGAGGTGAGTAGAGTCTCTGTGGAGTTCTACAGAGCAAGGTGGATGTGGAGACACTTGGTCGGGCATTTGTATGAAGCCTGAGCCCTCCTTACTTCTCTACTTCGCCCTTACCCAGCTCCCACCAGCACAGCTTTGCTGGGGGGCTCATTCCTGCAGGGCACTGCCAGGACAGTGCTGTGGTGGAGCGGTAGGGATGGCGCTCAGTGTGACTGTGACATAACCTAAGTGGGACAGAGCTGAAGGGAGAGCTGACTGCAGCAGGGCGAGAGGAAAAATGGGCTTTGGCCACAAACTGGGAAAGCAGGATGCCCCGATCCCCTCCAGACCAGTGGGGGGGGGGTGAGGAGAGCAGGATCCCTGATGGCCTGCTCACCCGCGCAGAGGCTGAACAGGTCTGTTGGCTGTGGTACTTGGGTGGCAGGTTTGGCCATGGGCTGCTTTGGAGTTGCACAGTATTAAATTAAGTTTTGAAAGCTTGCGGGGGAAGAGAGGGGTCCTGGGTGGGGGTGTGGGCACCTGGGCCCTGAGCCTAGCCCGCACTCAGGAACCTTTTTCTTTTTCCCAATGACATTTAAATACAAATTATCAAGAGCCCTTGAAAGGTGCGTGGGCAGTCCTGCGGTAGGTGGGCTACAGGGGGGTCAGAGCTGCTCTCTGCCCTCAGCTGTGCTGCGTGGTGCCCCCACGCTGCTCCCTGCCCTCCGGGCCACCTCTCTACCCTCCCC